TTTATTATAAAATAATTTATAAATATTTTTAAAATAATATTTATTTAATAATGAGCATATGATAATTAATATAATATAATTACGTGTAATTATATAAATTAGATGTATTACCCTAAGAAATAAACTAAACCCATGAAAACAATCCCATGAGCGTAAATTTCTTGAAATAAACAATTCAATCGTGTACGAATAGAAAGGAATTATTTCCCAAATATTTAAATTTTATAATTTAAATATTTTATGTGTCTTATATCAACCATTTATTTTTATTTTCTAAAATTTTATTTTTTTAATATATAAAATTTTACATTTATTACTGAATTTAATATCAACCACTTGGGTAGTTTAGTTGATCGAGTTAGGAGTGAGTAAAATTTTACTTGAATCGAAAAATTAATTTTTTTACTTGACACGACTCGAATTAATTTCGAGTTGTAATTTCATAAACTTAATTCGAAAAAAATTCAAGTTTAAATCAAATTGTAAAATACAACTCGAATAACTTAAATAACTCGAATTTTTTAATAATTAGTAGATTGATTTTTAAATTAGAGTATAATCCATCGAATCTGTATGATATATGTATACCACATATAAAAAATATGAAGAAATATATATGTGTTTTATGTAGTTATAAAAAATCATTTAAATTGTAATCAAATAATATCCTAATTTTATTAGATATTTACAATTAAGTTTAATCAGAAACTCGAATTTGACTCGACTCGAATTAAAAGAATTTTCAAGTAAACTTTAAATTGTAAAACATGATTTATCAATTTGATCTCAAAATTTATTGATTCGGCTCGACTAATCGAACGTTCACCCCTAAATCAAGCCATCGTTCAGAACACTCTGACTCAATAAAATTAGGGCTAGATAAACCTTGAATTCCAGCTTAAAGGACAAGAACCCTAGAATCATCTCTCACCTTAGGGCTAAAGCTTTGACTTTTGTGAACCAAATTTAGCTGCCCAAATTTTTTTCTTAAAAATTTAAAATTATTATATATTTTAAATTTTTTAATTTAATATTCTTTCCGTCCCATTTGTATTGTTCATTGTTAACTTTTCATGTAGTTTTAGGAACAAAAAGTTTGTCTCAGAACTATGTTAACATTTTTATATATTGAAATTTCTGAAAAAAATTATTCTACTTTTGGAATTTTTAAGAGTCTCTGGAGTTTCATATCAACTCGTCTACGTGATTTATCAGAACCAAATTACTATCTGACAATCATATCTATTTGCTCTGTTTGTCTATGGATGGATACTCATCATGATGTTAACCTGACACCACACTATATTTTTTTATTAATAACACTAACACTAAGAGTCAATATATAAATCACTATGTATGGTGGAAAAAGAGATCCCTATCTCCCTTTCTCTCCCTCGATCTCTCTCTCTCTCCACTTCATATATCACCTTCTGTAGTTCACCACTACTGTCCGTCGTGATTTTTCGTCCAAATCAGAAGAATGGACCGTTAAAAACTGCTACAATCATAATTTTGATATCACACTATATAACCTTTAACACGGTCTAATCGAAAACTTATTTAAAAAATTAAGTGATTATTTAAGCAGTGTATCCTAAAAATATCAGTTTAATAATATATTAAAAAAAATTCTTTTAATCAGTTCAAAAGCATATCAAGACTTGTATTTTTTATATTATAAATTATAGATACATTAATTAGGAAACAAACAATAGTACATTAGTAATTATTGATTTGTCATTGTATTTGGGCTTAATAAAAAAAAGTTAAACTATATCCAAAATTATCTTTAATTTTTGTTAAGGTGTTTACCATTAAAAAAAATCGATAATTGACAAGTGTCACATTTTAATTTTTTAATTTTAGAAAATAAAATAATATTTAAAATATTTTAAAAAATCTAAACGTTACACTGTCACTTAACGATTTTTTTAAGGTAGATACTTAAAAGTGCAATAGAGAAAATATTAGACACATATTTTTTAACAAAAAATTCTTTATGCACCAAAAATTAATTTTTTATATAATTTAAACTCTTCTTTTTATATTAAGTCTTGTATCCATTTTTTTTCAATTTATTATTTGTATACATGTGAAAATATTTTAAATATTATTATAATTTGATGAACCGTTGACTAGAATAAAATTTTACATACGACATTACGATTATTTTTTTATTTGTTCACACTTAAGACTCTTCATACTTTTTTTATTTTATTTTAGAAGAATTTTATTAATAAATATGAATCGGAGTTGATATGATTTTATTATTGATCTGACTTTTACATATTCTAGTTAGGGGTGCTCAAAATTCGATTTTAACCGAATTAACCGATCGAACCGAACTAATTCGGTTAATTCGGTCGGTCACCGAATTAGTTCGGTCGGGGAACGGTTAAAGTTTTTTTAGATATTCGGTTAACGGTTAATTCGGTTCGAAATCGTTAATTACCGAATTAACCGAATTACCGAAATAAAATTTTAAATTTTAAATATATTATATCTAACATATGGGCTCAGCCCAAACCATTTAAAATCCAATTAATAATTTAAGATCCAATAACTTTTAAACCTAAATCAATATTAATTAATTAAAAAAATTATATAAAATTTTTATTTTATAATTATATATTATTTAAATTATTTGTAAACTGTTTTTTTTGAATTAAAAAATATTAAATATATTATATAACATATGGGCTCAGCCCAAACCATTTAAAATCTAATTAATAATTTAAGATTCAATAACTTTTAAACCTAAATCAATATTAATTAATTAAAAAATTTATATAATTTTTTTATTTTATAATTATATATTATTTAAATTAATTATAAACTGTTTTTTTGAATTATAAAATATTTAATAAAAGAAAATTTTAAAAAATTTCGGTTAATTCGAAAATTAACCGAATTAACCGAAATTTATTCGGTTCGGTTAATATTTTCGAAAAAAAGTTCGGTTCGGTTAACGGTTAAAGAAAAAAAAAAGTTCGGTTAATTCGAAAATGGTAATTCGATCGGTTCGGCCACCGAATTAACCGAATGAACACCCCTAATTCTAGTGATCTTACAAAACTATTTTTAAGGTAAAGTATTTATTTTTGAGAATTTCGTACCTACCAATGAGTTGTCATAAATTTTAAGGTAAAATATACAAATAGTCCTCATACTCTTATTTATTTTATTTGATTGAGAAGAAATTTATTAATAAAATATGAATCGGAGTAGATAAGATTTTATTATTGATCTGACTTTTACATATAAAATTTGGGCTCCTTCCTTAAACTTGCCGTTTTATTTATTATAGTCATTTATATATAAAATTTTATTTCAGTCCATGTACATTTAATTTCCTTTTAATTTGGTCTTGGAAATGCAAAAAAAAAAAAAGAAAGAAGATCAAAGTAAGTTTGAGCTGCCATCGTGTAGCCCCTTAATCCGATTTAGAAGAAAAGGATTGAATCCAGAGAGTCCAATTGAAATCCCTTTTCCCAAGTTCAATACTTCATAATTTTATCAAAATAATATAACCGAGAAAAATCTAAAAATAAATAATAAGTATTCCCAAATCATATAAAAATAGTCCAAAAATAATTGTAATATCCCAAGTCCCAAATTACATAAATATAATATTAAACCTCAAATAATAATACGAAATAAAATTCAATATCTTAAGAAATTAGAATAGAATCTCATATTGTATGTAATAACTTTATCAGAAAATAAAGTGTCTCTCCAAACATTGGGTTGCCTAAATACAAGTATCTGAAAAAGAAATTACGAAGGTGTAAGCTATTAAGTTTAACGTGTCTCTAAAGTGCAGTCAGACATACAAGTTTCAAATCACATTATACAATCACTGTCCGAATCAAAATTATTCATGGCACGATTAATATGCAAGTGTAAATGCACCATACACCTTACACCTTTTGAAGAGTACGTTCCCTAGAACCATTCTCTATTAACACTATTTGAAGTGGGAGTTCGTACCGAAGGAATGAGCAACTAAGAATCCAAAGCGAGATTCACCATGTCGTGTGCATTCACTGAACTTCCCTGATCACAATCACAATCACAACCGGGTATGACATGCTATCATATTTTATTCGAATTTCAATATGATCTGAATGTAAAAGATATATATTCATGTAATATGAATGCATAGCATAAATTCAAAACCTGACAGATCAACATGCATTACAAAACACTTTTTTTGCATTGCATAACATACAATCAATTTCATTATATAGACATACTCTCAAATCATCAGTGAATATGACATTCAATCAGACAACCACATAAATAATTTATAGTATTAGACAAAACAAACCTCATCAAAATACTCTAACGACAAACGTAACGTTTTCATGATCAGCTCGAATTGTGGATCGGATCGTATAAACTCCTACAGATTAATTAGTAATAATTTAATTATTATTTGGTTCTATCGCGATTGTGAATCGCTATTTAAATATTAGGGATAAAGTACACAAATGTTCCTCTGAATATAGAATCTATTTTATTGATGTCATTGACTATTAAAAGTTACAAAACGGTCCTTTGAGTATCGAGAGGTGCTTTGTTGAGTCCCTCAACTATTAAAAGTTACAAAATGGTCACTCAACTTTTGATTATGTTCTAAACTCCCTTTTTCATTAAAAATTAACAATCGTCTGAGCTGGATGTTAACATGTTAACTGAGATATGATAGTTGTTTAAGGTTATGAGATCAGATTTTATCATATCTAAGCCAGCAGGTTAACGTACAACTCATATTGCTATCAATTTTTTAACGAAAAAGGACGAGTTTGGAACATAATGAATGATCGAGTGACCATTTTATAACTTTAATAATTAGTTGACTAAAAAATAACTCTATATAATCAAAGGACCATTTTATAATTTTTAATTGTCTAAGGACTTAATAAAATAATATTATTAATTGATCCGACAACAACAAATACCTGCATTAGGGGGGAAAAACATTTATGAGCCAAGCACAGCAAATATTAAGGTATTGGCTTCTTCATATCCTTAGAATTGAAGAACTTAAAATCAATGGCGAGAGTGACGAAGAGAGCTGTTCTTGTGGGTTGCACCTACAACAAGACCCGATTCAGCTTGTACGGATGCATAAACGATGTGAGGAAAATGAATGACTTGATCGTCAACCGTCTTGGTTTTCGTAAAGAGAATGTCAAGGTCCTGACCGATGAGCCGTTACCGGAGCTTACATCGGCTGTTCCTACGGCCGCCGACATCAGGGATGCGCTTTCCGAAATGGTGGAAACTGCTGGAGCAGGAGATGTGCTGTTTTTCTATTTCAGCGGCCATGGAACTGCGATTCCGGTCTATGTTCCCGGCCGGCCTTACCGGGAAGAGAAAGCCATCGTGTCTTGTGATTTGGATCTCATCACCGGTAATAGCTTCTCCTTCTCAGCTTTGTCTTTTGGGTAAATTACGTGTTTAGTACCTGAACTATCTGTTTTAATCCGTTTTAGTATTTAAACTTTTATTTTTTTTTACAATCATACCTAAAGTTTAGTTTTTGTTTCATTTTAGTACACCTGTTTAAAATTTAACGTTAAATTTTAGAAAACAATGAAAGTTTAGTACTAGAATGGACCAAAAATGATAGTTTATGTACTAATCGCGTTAATTTTTAATGGTAGGACACTAAAATAAAACAAAGACTAAATGTTATATATATTTAAAAAAATATAAAGTTTAAGTATTAAGACGGACCGAAACTGATAGTCTAGGTTTTAAATGTGTAATTTACTCTTATTTTTTTGGTTGATAGATTATAATAGGTAAATTACGAATTTCATCAATCAAATTTCTTTTCACTCTTAACTTGGTCAATAAAAGTTGGGAACTTTCAATTTACTCATTAAATTTTTTATTTGCTCCTGTTTCTAATGTTAAGTCATATATGAAGATGAAACATGACAACTATGTGTTAGTGTTGATTGTGTTTTTACTGACTTGGAATTCATGTGTCATTTTAGTCATTCTCTCTTTTATTTTTTTCCTCCAAAGATGAAAATTTTACAATTTCATCCTTATTTCACATAGGTACTACAATTACCATTCTCCGACATCTTATTCAGTCAATTAAAATATTGATTAAAACATTTTATTGTCTCCTACCAATCTATTAGTTTAGATTTGACCTAAATCATTTTAAAATTCATAAAATTCAATCGTAAACCCAAAAGTCATGAAAACCAAACCATTCTGAACTGCAATATCTATCATTTGATTAGTGTGAAATCAAGATATACAGTTCGATTCCTACCTTTCCACCTCTCCAGTATTAATATTTTGAAGAAGATACTTTATTGTCGAGAAATTAAAGGGAATTCGAAAGTAGGACATTTTTCAAAAAATGACAAGTTTTTGGTCCATTTCATATATATTTTTTAAAATGTCTGGCCATAATGAGGTTAAGTATTTAATGATAGAATGACTAAAATAGAAATAAATTGAAAGTTTAGTCAGTAGATTGAAAATTTTTAGATGTTAATGATCAAACTAAGAGTGAAAAGAAAATTGAGTGATAAGATTTATAATTTATCCTAATGAATTAAACATGGGTCATGGGTGTACAGGAATTGAGTTGAGGCGTCTAGTTGACAAACTAACGGGTGGTGCGACGTTGACAATGGCGATAGATTCCAGCTACAGCGGCGGTCTCATCGCCGGAGGGAAAGAACAAGTCGGATCCAACACAATGATTCCATTTCCTACATCATATGCGAGACTGATCAGGAAGAGCATCGATTATAACGCCATTCGTGATATCAGAAGCAAAGCATCATATCCGTTTTCGTTTCCGTGGCCGACCGACCAAGAGACAGATTCGAGTCCGCCGCAAGACGGTGGGATTTTGCTCAGCGGGTGTGATGCGAACGAGACATCATTCGACTTGGTCGGAGGAGGAGAAGCGTATGGGGCGTTCACCAATACGGTGTTGACAGTGATCGGAAAACGTCGGGATTGTCCGGCGAATGCAAGGCTTGTGTATGAAGCTAGAGAGAAATTAAAGGAGGATGGGATTGGAGTTGAGCAGAACCCTTGCCTTTACTGCAGCAACGCCAATGTAAATGCACCTTTCTTGGGTGGCTTTGTTAATATTGAATTGTGATTGCGGTCACATTGGGCTATTCAAATTACAGTTGCAGTCGTATTTTCGATTTCGTCACATTTATCATGATTCCAGATATAACGAGCACTCTTGATTTTATATGTTCACATGAATAAAAACATGTTCTATATGTTCATTTCTGCGCACTTGTATTAGGTATAAAAGTCGGGAGTTAAATTAAGGATGGTTATTTGATTCGAATTTGGCTTTTGATTTTATTCAATTAGATTTTTTAGATCTTACTCGATATAATATTAAAATTATTTATCATATGCATAGCCATACGTATATAGAAATACATAATGGCATAAGTTTGAAGGCATTATCCTCAACATAACAACACACAAACACACTATATAAGGACGTACATGGATAAACAGCCATGTTAGAAATCAAACTTGATTTCTTAGATTTGAATGTCGGAAAAGCCATGCATGGTTAATAAAGTAACTCATGGATTGCTATTATTATTATGTTGACGGACTCCATCACGATCGTGGATTGCTATTTAATTCGATTATAGTATCGTGATTGTGAATATTACAAATATTATAAAATGATTTATTTCTTACAAATATTTGAGTTTTGGGTGACTGTAGTATCGATCGTCGGTAGAATATTAAAGTTCCTCCAATTTCAATAGATAATTAAAATAACATAGGTTCGTCGGAAAGCGAATGGTGTAGCTGATGCTCGAGGTCTCTTGAATAAGAAGAGTCCTCTAAAGAGTATCCGTTGTTGATCATGGACTTTGGAGTCTCATACTTTATGACCTTATCTTCTTTGATATGACATTTAATATGATTACTAACAAATCTACGTGATATATTAAAATTGAAAATAAATAATATGTTTAATATCTAAACTATCAGTTTTAGTTCATTTTAATATCTAATTTTTTAATTTTTTCAAAACCGTACCTAACGTTTAATTTTTGTTTCATTTTAATGCCTCGCCATTAAAAATTTAACGACACCACATTTTTATGGGTAAATTGCATTATCCATCCTCACCTATCTTCTCACTCCTATTTTGTTACTAAAGTTTGACAATTTTCAATTTAACTACTCAACTTTCAAATTACTCATATTTTAATCATTCTAATTTATTTTATTAATAATTTTTGTGACATGATATTTTTTTATTATTTTATGAATATATAATTAAAAAAATAAATTTAACAGTTAGACTTAGAGTGATTAAATTAGGAGTAATTTAAAAGTTAGTAATAAAATTAAAAAAATAAACTTTATTGATCAAAATAGGAGTAAGAAGATAGTTTACTGATGAATGATGCAATTTATCCATAAAAAGGTGTCACGTGCAAATCACATGTTAAGTTTTTAACGGTGATGTATTAAAATGAAACAAAAACCAACCGATACGTATAGTTTTCAAAAAATTAGAAGTTTAAATACTAAAACGGAACAAAACTGATAGTTTAAATACTAAACGTATAATTTAAACTAAAATTAAATCTATTGTTAGACAGACATATATGTCCATTCTATATGTCGGCCTACGGGTGATTATTACTATAAATCTAACACTTGCATCAAATATATATGTGTAATTAATGAAGAAACATAAAATATTAAGGTGATGTTTGTTTTTACTGTTCTACCTCTTTAAACCTCTTATGTCTGCGCCGCACAGACCACGCGCAGACATTAGGCTTCGCAGACCGTTTATTTTTTAGAAGATAAAAGTTCTTCTAACGTCTGCACGTGGTCTGCGCAGCGCAGACGTGGCCTTATGTCTGCAGACGTCTTTTAACCACTTCAAAGAGGTTTTATATTTAATTTTATATTATAGATATTAATTTTAATATTAATTTTTTAAATAAATTAAATATTAATTTTTTAATATTATATTATAGATATTAATTTTAATATTAATTTTTAAATAAATTAAATATTAATTTTTAATATTATATTATAGATATTTAATTTTATATCATATAAATTATTTATATTTATTAAAATTTTATATTTATTTTAATTATTTTTTATTTAAGTTTAAATATAATATTTTTTGGATTTGTTATTTTTAAATTATATTTAAACTTTTTATACGAAATGTAAGTATTTAAACCACATTGCTTAATAAAAAATGATTTCATTGTTTGATAATTAAGATTTTAAAATATAAAAAATTATAAATTATGTTTTTAAAATTTTAAAATTTTAAAATATGATCACAATTAAATAAAAAATAATCATAAAATAATTTGATAAATTAAAAAATATTTTCTAAAAAATCATATAATTATAAAAATAAATTATGAATATATATTTAAAAAAATTAAAAGTATTACATAATTGCATATTTAATAATAGTTTAATGATAATTAATGTTTAAAAAAAGAGAGGTGTATGATTTATTGATTAATAATAGTTTAATGATAATTAATGTTGCTGTGACATATGATAATAAAATTCAAAATTTAATATTATTATATAACTTTAGATAATTTAATGTTTAAAAAAATCATATAATTTAATGATCATTTATAAATTTTATTCTATAAAACTTATAAAACTAATAATACATGTGATTATGTGAGACTTATAATAGAATTAATAAGGTGGTGTTTGTTTTTCTAAAAAAATTATTATTGTAGTTGTATGAATTATTTAAATTTCAGTATTGTAAAACTAAAATTATTTAAATCTCACTATTGCAAAACTCTTTTAAGTTTAAAAAACCAGTTTATTTATATTTCAGTTTATGTTAGCAGTCTGCAGACGTTAAAAAACAAACAGTCTTCTTCTTGCAGACCGCAGACTTTTGGTCTACCTCTTCTGCTGCAGATGTGGTCCGCAGACTGCAGAACTTTTACCTCTGCAAAAACAAACACCACCTAAGAATGACTTAAACTTTTAATTCTTTTCCAAATTATACATAAAATTTATTTATTTTATTTCATTTTAGTACCCAACTTTAAAAACATTAGTTTTTATCTCATTTTAGTACCCCTTTCAAAATTTAACATTAAGTTTTGAAACAAATGAAAATTTAGGTACTAAAACAGAACAAAATTGATAGTTTAGATAATAAACGTGTTAAGTTTTTAAAGGTGGGGTACTAAAATGAAATAAAAACTAAATGTTAGATATGATTTTGAAAAAATTGAAAGTTTAGGTACTAAAACATATCAAAACTAATAGTTTAGATGCTGAATGTGTAGCTTACCCAAAAAATTAATATGGAAATGATGACATGACGATTAAACAACTTTATATAATTGAATATTTAGTTCTTATTATTTATGTATTCTATCAAATTAATCATAATTTTAATTTAATTAGATTATAAAAATTAAAATACCAAATTAAACCTTGAAACTAAGTTATGTACCTAATTGAACTAAAAATAGATATCAAAAAATTAACATTCATGTCAAATTTAGGTACCAAATATATATGTTTACCCTATCTAATAATAATAATAATAATAATAATAATAATAATAATAATAATAATAATAATAATAATAATAATAATAATAATAATAATGTTTAATACCAAAATAACTATCCAAACTATATTGCTCTTTCCAAATAGGTGCTTAAATTATTTTTGACTCTTTCAGGTGTCTAACATTATAAATGTTACCCATTTTGGTGTCTTGGCCATAAACGGCGTTAATTTCTCTGTTAAGTGACATGTGTCACAATCTGATGATTTTGAAATTTATTTTTTAAAAATATTCCCAAAATAGGTGCCTAAACAATACCGTTTTCCCAAATAGGTGCCTAAACTTTTCTTATATTATAAAACAACCCAAAAATCCCAAATCCTCACCTTAATCTACCGTCGTCGCCCTTTCCAGAAATGACCACCGTCACCGACTTAGTCCTTGCCATCCTCCTACTCATACGTTGTCGTATTTTCCGTCAATTGACCATCAAAATCGCGTGGGATCGTGATTTTCATCATAGAGTTCGCAGGATATAAAACGTTGATTTGTCGTCATTCGGTCACGATTTCATGGGGGTTTTAGTCGTCGGGTGGAGGGGAGGTCGGGTGGAGCTTCGTCAACGGCAAAAGGTAGCGATCTACGTGGGATTAGGGGTTAAAATGAAGGTTTTCAAAGTTCTGGGTTTATTTCAAAATTTATGTTTCTTATTTTTTAAAATAACTTTATTTTTTAATTTTAAATAAAAATTTTAAAATTATCAAATTGTGACATGTGTCACTTAACGGGAAGGAAAAATCAACACTGTTGATGGTCCGAGCACTTAAATGGGTAACATTTGTAATGTTAGGCACCTGGATGAATAAAAAAATAGTTTAAGCACCTATTTAGGAAAATATGTATAGTTTGGACACTTATTTTGGTATTAAAGCTAATAATAATAATAATAATAATAATAATAATAATAATACCGACAACAATAATAAAATGGACCATTAATTCTTTGCAATTAGGCTTAATACTTGAAGAAGGTAAAGTTTTGGGCTTTTCCCAGCTTCTCAACTGGGTGCCCTAGTTTTCGTACCGACTCGGGCGAGACTCGACTCGACTCATTTACATATATATATAATATACACACACACATAATACCCGAGTTTCATCAGATCAATAACCCCGCGTCGTGAAAACTACTCTGTGCCTCCACGCCACGCAAATCCAAGGTAACTCCCTTTTCCTTTAATTTTCCTTCGCTTTGTTTTTCTTTGGGTTGGTTTCCCCCCGATTGTGTTTGTGTTCAAACTCGAATGATGAAAGAAGATTTGTAATGGAACGAATTTTTTGAAATTCGAAGCTTAGATTGTGACGAACAGCAAAAGAATTGGTTTGATTATGGAAAATAATGAAAACGGGAGGTTAAGAGAAGTTATTTATAAATTTATTGAACGAGAATGGTGGGTTTGTTTGATTTGTGATTAGGTGTGAGATGTTGTTCTTATTTGGTTGAAATATTTTTCTTTCTCTTGTTTTGAAGGACGGAAAACTGGGTTTTTGAAGGGAAAGGGAATTGATTGTCTGTTTTGCCTTTTCCTAAGAGCTTATTCTCCATTTAATCTTGGCTTCTTTAATGAATTAGTTTTAAGATTATGTTTCCAATTTTCCATTATATTATTTCTTTTGAGTTGCTTAGCTAATTGTTTGAATTTAACCAATCAATGATTAAAACAAAGAAAGAATTATCCTTGTAATTCACCATGTCAAAACTTCTTACTTAATTGCAAACCTTTGATGACTAGTTGGATCCTTGTTCCTAAGTTATTAAAAGCCTTTTCTTTAACTTGTTTGGAAGAAAGAAAAAAAGGGGTCTTTGAGCGAAAAGGAGTGGTGGCCTGTTTCATTCATCCCCCATATGGGCATATTCATTGTTTAAACCTAGCTTCTTCGGCAAATCAATTTTAAGATTCTGTTCTAAACTTCTAATTCGTATCAGTCAACTTGCTAAGCTAATTGAACAAGTTGATAGATGAAAATAACCAATCAATAATAAAATTAAAAAAACTTGTAACCCATTAGGTAAAAATTTACCGAGTTGCAAACCTTCGATGCCTTGTTGTATCTTTGTTCATTATTGATTAAAAGCCTTTTATCTATCTTGTTTGGAAAATTGAGGGAAAAGTGTTTTGAAGGGAAAAGGAGTGATAGTCAGTTTCATTCCAATTTCCCGTAGCTATAGGCTTTGTGAGCTTATTCGCTGCTTAAACATGGCTTCTTTAGTAAATTAGTTTTAAGATTCTGTTTGAATTTGATTCTTGTGGCTTGCTAAGTTATTTTGAATTGTTTGATTCATGTGCTCTTATACAAGAATAATGAATCTAGTTTTGGGTGATTACTTTCATTGTAGAAAGGATTGAGCTTTCGGGGTTTGTGCTTGAAGATATAAATATTAAGAAAATCTAGCATATATGGGTTTAAATTACTTTTATCCAGTTTATTTATTTTATTCATACATTGCTAGCTCTAATGAAGCAGTTTGGTTTTTTTAGTCAACCATATATTCCCTAGTCACCCAGCTTATATCATGAAATTATCTGCTGGCTGCATCATTTTAGTGTGTGTGTGTGTGTGTGTGTGTGTGTGTGTGTGTATATATATATCTGTTGTGACCATTTTAACATGATCTGTACTGATTGCTACTTTTGCAGATTGTTTGGCAACTTGTTAAACTAGGTACTGACTAGACAAAAGCTATTCCTGGTTATCGGTTCTCATTTTTCATCCTGTTTGGTTTTGTGTACCCACCATATTTTTTATGGCGGTCCACACAAGCATTCAGCTTTTAACGTATTCTCAGGAGCTTGTGGAAGGACAGCCACTGTATGTCTCTTCAAATTGTCTTCCTGTTAAGGCTTCAAAATATGAACCTGCTGGACTTGCTTTTCATAATGTTGCTCTTAAACTCCTTGGTTGTGAAGAGGAGGATACTGAGGAAGTTGATGACCAGAAAGTTGGTAATGATAAGGAGAATGTATATATGCCATCATCTGATTCATATAGCAGCAAAGGGAAAAAGAAATCTGGTGCTGATGGCAAGCAGCAAGATCATTATGCGTTGCTTGGGTTGAGCCATTTGAGATATCTTGCCACTGAGGATCAGATAAGGAAAAGTTATCGTGAAGCTGCCTTGAGATATCATCCTGACAAACTCGCAAATCTTCTTCTTGCAGAGGAGACCGAGGCTGCAAAACAGGCGAAGAAGGATGAAATAGATAATCACTTCAAGTCCGTCCAAGAAGCATATGAGATTTTGATCGATCCTGTAAAGAGAAGAATCTATGACTCCACTGATGAGTTTGATGATGAAATTCCTACTGAATGTGCCCCACAAGACTTCTTCAAGGTGTTTGGTCCAGCGTTCATGAGGAATGGCCGATGGTCAGTGGCCCAACCTATCCCAACTTTGGGAGATGACAGTACTCCACTAAAAGATGTCGACAATTTCTATAATTTTTGGTATTATTTTAAAAGCTGGAGGGAATTCCCTCATGCAGATGAGTATGACCTTGAACAAGCTGAGTCTCGTGACCATAAAAGGTGGATGGAGAGGCAGAATGCAAAACTGTCTGAGAAGGCTAGGAAGGAGGAATATACTCGGATACGTGCACTTGTTGACAATGCCTTTAAGAGAGACCCGAGAATACTTAGGAGAAAGGAAGAAGTGAAAGCTGAGAAACAGAGGAAAAAAGAAGCTAAGGTTCGTGCAAAGCAGTTGCAGGAGGAAGAAGCTGCTAGGGCTGCTGAAGAGGAGAGACGCCGGAAAGAGGAGGAGGAGAAACGAGCGGCTGAAGCTTCTTTACAGCATAAGAAAATAAAGGAGAAAGAGAAGAAGCTTCTCCGCAAAGAAAGAACTCGCCTTCGAACACTTTCTGCACCTGCTTTATCACAACATTTGCTTGATCTTTCCGAGGATGATGTAGAAAGCCTATGTATGACCCTTGGCATTGAGCAGCTTAGAAGTTTATGTGATAAAATGGATAACAAAGAAGCACTAGAGCGGGCTAAAATAATTAAAGATGCTCGTGGATACAATAGGGAAGCGAATGAGAAAAAAATAGATGAAGCGAATGAGAAAAAAATAGATGAAACGAACAAGTCACAGCCGAATGGTTCTGTGGAGTCCAATGGAAATATCCTATCAAGCAGCTTTGAGAAGAAGGAGAAACCTTGGACCAAAGAAGAGATTGAGCTTTTGAGGAAAGGAACCCAGAAATATCCAAAAGGTACATCTCGGAGGTGGGAGGTTATTTCTGAGTTCATTGGTACAGGTAGATCTGTGGAAGAAATTCTGAAAGCCACCAAAACAGTCCTCCTTCAGAAGCCTGATGCTACCAAAGCATTCGATTCTTTTCTAGAAAAGAGGAAACCAGCAGTGTCTATTGCCTCTCCACTTTCTACTAGGGAGGAAGTACAAGGGGTTTCTACACCTTCAAAGACTGAAAACACGGCTGTCAAGACAAGCAGCCCCGGGGACTCTGGTAAAACTGCAAGTAGTCCTGTTGATGTGGCTTCCAGCAATGGTGTTTCATCAAGTTCAGAACAAGATGTATGGTCAGCTGTACAAGAAAGAGCACTGGTTCAGGCTCTGAAGACATTCCCAAAGGAAACCCCTCAGCGTTGGGAACGGGTGGCCACCGCTGTTCCAGGGAAGACTGTAAATCAATGCAAGAAAAAATTTGCATTATTGAGGGAAAACTTCAGAAGCAATAAAAGCACTGCTTAGTCACATGATTAACTCTGGCAGTGCCACGAAGCAATAAAATCTTCACTCGGAACTTGCTCGAGTACAACATATTTGTAGTGAAACCCACCTTTTTCCCTAGTTCCTATATTCCGGATTCTGTTATGCTATTGAGGTCCCGTAGCTGTATGTTTTCAGCAGGAAATAGCTTATTTATTGATATAAATATCCTACATTGCCATGGTTTTCTGTGTAGCAGTATTTTGCATGGATTCCAATAACAATGGCTACTTTTGTTTTAAAGCTGTATGGTTTCGATCATTGTTTTGATCAAATCATTAAATTTATCTTATACTACCGGATTATTATTCGTATATGCTGCCTTTTACATGTCGTGAGCATCATTATATTCACTGTATATATAGGAATGTATTTGGGTATGCAATTATATTTACAGGAGAATCAGAAAGATTCATCACTATCTGATGGCCAGACTTGGTCCGGTTTGATGAAGGACTAGGATTGGAGATGGCCACAGGTGAAGGGCTGGTATTACAAAATTAGGTTGTGGGGGACATTTATTAAAATTGTGGCCAGTTGATATAAATTATGGAATATGAGAATCTAAAATATTTATCGAGAAATATGAATCAAATTATCTCAGTGGTTAAAAGAATTATTGAAGTTCTTATGAATTGCGGGTTCGAGCACACCAGTGATTGCGAGAATGATTGAACATTCATTATCAAATGGTTAAGAGTACTTAAATTTTATAATCATCTTTAGTTTAATAAAAAAATATATTTATCGAGAAACTAGGATAACTGCAAGTTGTGTTAGAAATACTAATCAAAACAGCAACTGCTAGTCTGCTAGTACAGACAGGTACCAAATGATTGTCTGAATGAGAAGAGAGGAACTGAAGCAATAGTGTTCATCCAAAAGTGTCATATTATACAAATCATCATCAGCTAAGACACACTGTTCATCAAACAGCAAAATCATGGGACTAAAATTTTCCATGCTGAAATTGCACAATTATTCTAAAATTTCAACACCACCTTGAATGCATTTGTATACCTAAGAGTTCCGTATCGGCATACGCATTCACAGTTCAACAGGAAAAGAAACATCAAACACAACAAACCGGACATTCATGGCTCATACCATATTAGTCTCGCCCCAAATGAACTTTGTTGGATCAGGCCCGCTTGACTACACACATCAAACAAATCATTCGATGAATGAAACAAAGAGCAGAAGCTTCCAAGTTCATACAATTGAGATAGCGGGTCTCAAGGAAGTTCGGACATTTGACAGACAGCAGGCATACTATTCCATGCACAAGAATCAAGGCCCCATGCTTGACTTGAGATAGATGTTCCAGCTGCCATATTCTTGTCCTCACTACTCAAATCATCACCAAGAAGGGTTGCTATGGAATTGGTCATGACCGTTTGGTCCTTATCGTAACCACAACCCTGCTCAAGCCAACTAGAAGCAAGTAATGTATCATGGCAACAACTATCCAACCGAATAGGAGACTTGTTTTTTATCTCGGGGGTCAAAATATGATCAGCTGGTTCTGATTTCACATGCGACTCTGAAAAAAAAATCCAAAATCAACTTACTAAACACTAGGAAAACAATAGAGAGAAGTTGAGCATCAAAATTTCTCGACAATACACTTGGAATATTAGTAAAAAGTAGGGATGATAACGGATAGCTAAAAGTAGCCAAAATCCAATCCAGTTTTTGCGGATTCCATAGTTTTGATTAAAAAAATATTGAATATGTGAATCCACTTTACTTGATAGGAATATCATTCGATATCAAAGTATGATTTCCATTTACATTTTTGTAAAAATATGTAATCATGTGTAGCAAGTCCAGATTAGAGAGGTACTAACCAGTAAAGGTTTCAGCGGGTGGCTGTCCATCCAACGAACTACCGCTTGCACTGATACACTCACTTAAAAGAGTAGTTGCTGAAATACCCATTGGAGAAAGAGGTTCGCCACAGTTTTCCCATTCTGTCTGACAAATGTTGAAAGTGAAACTTTCAACAATATCACCGGGAGTTGTAGAGTTTGAACTCTTGTCAGATGCATGGGTTTTTGCCCTGCTTAGAGTTTTTGACTGATGAAGTAAATCATTTAGCAGGCCACTATTACGGGGTGAAAGGTTATCTGACTCTGCTCCGCTGGTTGGTGGTGGTGACTGGATAAAAGCATCAACAGACTCAAGTAATGGTGGCGGGCTAGAAAATGTGCCCCAGTTACCTAATTCCGTTTCTGGATATTGGAGTGAAGGGAGCTCCAACTTCACAGCCTCGAAAGCAGGCTCTGAAGCAGAGAAATTGCCATTTGAAAGGGCATGGCTACCCGGGAATACACCAAATTGAAAGGAGTTCTTTGTTGCAGGATCTGGTTCAAGCGGAAAAGGCAGCCCAAAGGATCGAGCAGCCTTGTCCGAGATATCATCCTGAAAATGCTCAAACAAGGGGAATTCATATTTAACGGCAGCAGTGTAACCGAAGGAAAAGGTTGTAGCTTCTCAAAGACGCTTCTGGCGATGGATTGTTGGTGGCATGAAACTACAATATTGAGAACCTAGACCCTTCATCAACATGCTGCTTGTAGACATATCAGGAAGTTCAGGAACATAAGGCAGGACATTTTGACTTGCCTTTAAACAGTCAAATATGACCTCAGGTATATCATAGCTGTTGTTCTGCAAGATATCATGAGGTCCTTTATCCCCTCCATTAAATGCACCGGTACTGTGACTCTCCTGCAACGCTTGCAAGCACACTTCAGGAGGGTAGAGAGGTAACCCAGAACGCTGACGTCTCTTAATCCGGGTATTCCAATAATTTTTTATCTCATTATCTGTACGACCATGTAACTGAAAATAAAAACAGCGCAAAGAAAAAGTTTCAGACACCTAAAAGACAGATGAATACAAATTTGGTAAGTGAAACTTTTTCAGGCTTTGCGCAAGTGTTTAGCATTTCCAAGGTGGAATAGTGGCCACAGAATTCTGGAAAACATAAATTGCTATGGATCAACTTCTATGACAAAATAATCATAATTCTAATGATGAGGTTTATCCATTTTAAGGCACGACTAAAACAAACTAGTAATCAATCAATTGTTCAAAGTCTTTGTCTTGTAAATGTAGTAATCTAACACTTTTTTTATGTTCAATAAATTAATGTATTTAATCAATCATTAAAACAAACTAGTACATTTACAGTAATTGAACACTTACATGTGCAGCCATCCGAGCCCATTTATTTCCCATCTTTGCATGGAGTTCAATGATCAGCTGCTCCTCTTCTTGAGTAAATGCCCCTTTCTTCAGGTTTGGCCTCAAGTGATTTGCCCATCGTAAGCGGCAACTTTTTCCACAACGAAATAGTCCAGAGTGCTTCTGAACAGCATTCCAGTTGCCTTCCCCATGCTTTTTCACATACTCGATCAAAATTGCATCTTCAGCAGTCGTCCATGGTCCTTTCTTCAGAACAACTCCGCCACCTGAGCCTCCTCCTCCACAGTTGCCATCATCAATCAACGACGATTCGGTCTGATCCTTATAGAAAATTCCATCTTCCCTCTCATTTTTTGTGCGACTCATCTCTTAGGAATCACAGACAAACCCCCTTTCAACAAGTGAGAACCATCCAAAACCTGAAACAAGATAAAAGATGGAAGGCACGCAAAATTAAAATATCGAAAACTGAAGGAAACAAAGCACCATTTCCACTCGCTTTTTCATTATTACACCCAAAACTCCCATATATGCATTTATATCTTTCTTTTGTTTCCCCAATAAACGCGCTTTATGCATCACAACAAGCTACAAGTGGATCAACCAGCACACTCCTTTATTCAAATATTAAAAGAAGAAATGATGAAAGCATATATGAACAATTTAAATCTATGAAAAGAAACAAAAGTCGTTGGGATAATGTATCCACATCTCTCAACTTATAATGGATTCGTAAACGACAGAAAAATTCATCCACTCTACAGATAACATATTCAGAAAAGACAGAAAAAGTCATGGAGTACAGCAAGGTTGGGAACAGTTGACATAGAACGAAATTATCCACAGGATCATAGGTGGACTCACAATAAAAATTTAAGAGTTGCAAGAGTAATAAGGGTGACACTTATATTAGGGTGACAGTTGTGGAGGAATTATTTAGAATACTTCGGGCACTACGAAGGTCTGTTCTGGATGAGGAGTTGCCTGAGATACTCCGAACACCATAGAGGTCCACCCTTACACAAGTTATAAAATGCAGCAAACATTGATGTATGTAAACCATGTATCAAAATTTAATTCTATTCCAGAAAAGGAAAATTCGTTTCAAACTAAACCCTATAACCTAATTTTGAAAGAAAATAACCTATACTTTAAAAAAAATTACAAATTAAAAACACCCATTTCCAGAAATGATGCATAAATAAGCTCAGATAAAAAGTAAAATCCAAGATACATTTATTGCACTATGATTCTGTCATAAATTTATTCCAATATTACATCATTAATAAACTACAAGCTGAAATAATTGCACCATCAGCTATTTATTTACATTAGATTAACCAAAATCAACCAGTTTCAATTAAAAAAATCTGAAAAAAAGGAACTACACGAAAAAGAACCCAATTACCTGCCTCACGAAGACGCAAAATTCTGGGAAGATTTTTCCAAAAACAGAAGTTCTTTGAATGAGCTCAATTATGGTTCCTGATTGAACTGATAGCTGAGATCATAGCGAGAATTGAAAAATCTGGAAAGCAACCCAAAAAGTTAATTAGGGGCTATTTGTTTGGTTCTGAATAAAATTATTCAGCGTTGAATGTTGAACCGTTTAATATTCAGTGCTTTTGTTTTGTACCTCTTAATGATTCAGTATTGACTGACTCAGCATCAAATTACATTCTGAATGATTCAACATTAAAGTACATTCTGAATGATTCAGATAGGGGCGGACTTCCATGAAACCCGGGGTATCCCGGGCAACCCTTCATCCAGGGGTGGACCTCCATGGTGCCCGGGGTATCCCAAGCAACCCCTTCACAAGTGTCATCCTTAATCCAAGTGTCACCCCTCAAAAGTGCCCCTGGGGCTCTTGCAACCTCTGACGAAGGCTCCTGGGTCCGTCTCTGGATTCAGAGTCATTATCAAATAGCATGTCACATTCAGAGCTAATTCATACAGAACCTCTGAATCATTCAATATTTAAATCATTCAGCGCTTAATCATTCTGATATAAACAAACATCCTCTAAA